TCAGGGCAGAGTCTTGCTGCCACTCAGTGCTCCTCCAGCACCCAGCACAAGATCTGTCCATGTGTCGTGTGTCTAGGAGAATGCCATCTTTCAGACCATCCTCACTGCCCAGAGCCCTCTGAGGCCTCAACGGTAACGTGTTTGTGGAGCAGAAGCTGGCATTTGAGTCTGGATTGCAGTCTGTATGGAAAACTGCACTTCACTTCTTTGATGCTCTGGCTTACTTCCAGCAGCCAGGCTGGTCTGGGTTCCCTCACCACCTTCCTGTAAGAACCTCACCGTGCTGGTGGAACCACATCTGCTCGTCAAACCGAGCGCTTAGAACTAGGCTTCAACACGCTGCTATTTGAAGGCATGGAAGTTCTGCCAGCTTTTTTTATGGGAATCAACACAGGCTGTGCTGACAACGTGAAAGTATGCAAAGCTTCCTACAAGCAGAGAACATAACCTTTGTGTATTTTGTCTTTGCCTCATTGGAATCATATCCTAGCCAACCCTGTTCTGTCCTATATTGCAAGTAGTCTTTCAGGGCGAATGAAAAAAAAGAAAAACTAACCAATGTTTTTCTTCCTGTTTTTCCTTTGGCGTCTCTTTCTGGGCTTTGCACTGGTAACTTGCAAGAAGACAAGCTCCTTGGGTAGAATTTCCTGAGAAACCTGCTTTTTAGCAAGTCTGCCAGGGCACCTCACCAGTGAAACCAAGGGCAGCGCTTACAGCCAGTGCATTGAGAGCACGCCCACGGCTGCCCGCTGGGCTCATCTTCCTTTCAAACTGGCGGCTCCACTTCATCCCGCACGGGACGCTGCCGACAACCCTGGTAAGTCTCCCCCGAGCACCAAGAGCCGCTCTGCTCCTCCGCTGAGAAACTGGGGCTCAGAGCACTCTCTCAGGCTGTTGGCCCACCGTGCCTGTCCTCCGGGTTTATCTCAGCTCTACCCCCGGTTTTGTCACTGTATCCTTCAATCCCCTCTCTCCCCATAAAAGTGTCTAGCTGTCTCTTAAACTCACTTTACCATTTGCTGCTTTGACCTCACTTGGCAACTTATCCTTGTGTTTATTATTTGAGGTGGAATAGCTCTGGCTACATTCCTGGTTTTACTCTTAATTGTCTAATTTTTAGAATGGTGTGAGTGGGGTTGGGATTTGGGTTTGGGTTTTTTTTTTTAACTCATCGCTTTTGTGACCAGGTCTTCTGTTTCGTTAGGCTCTTTCGTGTCACCAGGACTTCCAATAACTAGAAGAATCCTAATGAATCTTTTATTGCATCTTCCCAAATACTGCAGCTGGCCTTTCTTGTCCATTAGTGCCATAATGAACTGCATACACTGCCTTTAATTACTTTTTTGTTAATTGGAGGGGGATTTTCCCCAAGGAAGGAAGAGTTCCCCAACTAAAAAGCCGAGTGATCCTCCTGCCCGTACTCATTTAAGGCACCTACCTGCATCTTCAGGAGCTGCTCCCGGTTGCTGGTGCAGCAGTGAAATGAATCCTACTGATACCCTGAAACAGATAGGCCTGGTTGGAGTGGTTTCTAAAATGAACAACTCACCTAAACCGCCCCGGAAAGAGAAGCAAAGATCTCGTTCTTTGCAAGTCCCCCCCTTCCCTTACAGGAATCAGCACCCATCTGAAGGACGGACTGCAGCAACTTGGTACCCCCTGTGCGGCCAGTACAGTCCGCACCCTTCAATAATACAACATCCACCCAAAGCAGGGTCGTGTGGCTACAGTTTAGGCATGTCAGAGCTCGGGTTTTCCTAAAGCAGAAGGGACGCTTCACTGGATTCACCTACCTTGACAATATTGGTGCAAGTGAACCCTGGAATCTCAGCTGACGCCATCAGAGAGAGGAGAGGTCACGTTCCCTTTGCTACCAACACACCTTGTACATCACGAAGTGACAAAAGAGGTAGAAGTGTTAGCTAGAAAATCAACATTCTCCAGTGGGGGAGGCTATGAAGCTGCGGGACAGGAACAGTGTGCCAACCACAGTAAGACATTAACCATCAGCCAGAGCAACAGCGGTCACTATTTTCAGTGTAAGAACAGAGGGCAGAGGCATAAGATTTGCTCAATTAATCGTGGGATTGAAAATTTTCCAGAGAGCTAAGGACACTTGTAAGATAGAGTGCAGCCCCTTCATCTTTCATACAGAGGTGGAGCTCACAGAAACTCATCCTGCTGAGCAGTTTCGGCTCGCTGCAAAATGAGGAGTTGCGTCTGCGGGCTGCTGCTGGGAGACTCACGTAGTAAAGCACTTCAGTAAAGGTGGCTTACCTTGCTGATGGAATCCTGACATGAGGGAAATGAGAGGGAGAGACATTAAATGCCTCCCATGAGAGTGACTGTAAAACAACTAGGAATAAAAATTAAAATAACCTTGTAAACATTCACCGTTGTCTTCACCATTATCGGCGGGTTGGGTGACGTAACGATCGTCGAACAACAGAGTAGTGCTAAGTACTTTCATTGAGAAAGTGGCGACAGCAAAAAAAAAAAGGCTATGCTCTGTCACTCAGCAGCCCCGCTTCATTTTTTGTAGCCATCTCCCGTTATTATTATTTGGCACGCCGCTCGCTAACAGCCAAACCACGGCCGTAGCTGTTTACAGGTCACTGGCAGCCTGGCCTGTGCTGCAGCGGAGTTTCGGCTGTATTTCACTAAAGACCGTTTCCTTTAGGTTTGACTAAGGCGGGCACAACTGCAGACTGATTTGTATTTTTCTGACTTTCAGTATAAACACTCGTGGCAGCTCTCTAATTTGGGTGCGGACTGTAAAACAGATTGTTTTGTAGTTGCAGAGACTGCTGGGTAAATCACAGGACATTGTTATTGCGACTCAACTTTTCTCTCAAGAAAGCAGGAGGAGTTGCTTTATTTTTGAGTTCTGTGCAGTTTTCATGTACACCATTCGCTCCAAATATTTGATGTTTGCCACACTTGTTATGAGTTTCTCCAGAGAGATGCTGTCTTTTGGCAGCAAAAGATAAAGTTGACTGATACAAATGAGTCACAGTACCCCAACAGTAATTAACAGTGATGCAATACCCATGCGAAAAAGAGGACTTGAAGAATTAACTGTTGAGTTTTCCTGACGATGCAGCTGCACTTTAAGAGAGAAAGCTCAACCCATCATGGAACTCCATTGTGTACATTAGGGAAAAAAGCTTGGCAAGATACATTAAAGATTTTCGCTAAAGAGATACAAATATTTTGCAAGGTCAAAGGGCGCCGAGGCAGGCTGTACTTACTTCCAAAGAAAAGTAGGCAGTATGACAAAGAAACAGTAATATTTTTTTATCTTCATTTTCACACTTCATCATCGAAGAAAGACTGTCTTTTTAAAAAAACCAACTCTAAGTTTAACATTTACTTAAAAGTCAGCCTATGACACCCTAATCTAAGAAGTTATCTGTGCTTACGGTTTCAGTGCAGTCCTACAGAAGGCCAGTGCTGCTATTTATAAACTGGGTTTTACTATTCTATAAAGTTCTTACAGAAAGCTTACAGGTCAAAAGAAAAGGAGCAGTTTGGTAAGAAGACGAACGATTGAAGCAACTGGTTTATAGCACAATATGAAACTTGACACTGTTTGCTGCTGCCAGTATGATTCCCAAGTGAGATGGATAAATTGTGGTCAAGACCTGGACAGGTTAACTAGTGGTCATCAGTGCTGGTGGTACCTTTATATACAAAAAAAAAAAAATGGATACTATTGGACAGGGCATTTGAAATTTAATACCAGACATGAAACAAGACATCTGTTGGACTCTCATTTGTTTCTCTTTGAATGGGCTTTAATTGAAAGCTCAGTGAAAAATGCAGGTTACATTCTTAGTGTTATCAATAGTTTGGAACAGCAACAACATCAGAACAGTGATGCATCTAATATTTATACACTTTCTAATTTTAGAGGTCTAAGAGCAATACATTATCAGATATATATATACACACAATTTCAAGCAATTAAAAGTAAATAATAAACCCCTCCTCCCAAAACCCTGAAATAATATATTTCCTTACACTAATAATGTATTTTTCACATATACTTGACAAAGAGTCTTTTTAAGTTACTTATCTTAAGAGTAATCTGTTAATGGAGATCCTGGACCAGCCCCATTAAAAGTTCAGTTTTAAGTTTATACAGCTTGCTAGCCACATAACCAGTGTGGCTTTACATTGTAAACAAATCCTAAATGTCTACAATGATTGGAATTAGTTTTGTGTAGAGGAGATCTACGCATCTCGTGATAGAATAAATTTAAACCAATACATTAAAAAGAGGGAGAGAAAGGAGAGAGTTAATTGACAAATAAAACAGTGTTGGGGGACCAATTATGTGATTATTTAAAAAACAAGTTAACTTAATGGTAAGATTCTTGTTTTCTGTGCAGAGGCGCTCTGGTTCATCTAGCTTTAGCTGCTCTAGAAATACATCCTTTATAAAAAGGCTTGATTTGTGAAATTCAAAAGCAGAGCTTCCAACTTTAAAAGCCTGCTCTTTGGCAGTAGGAGTACGAAGTTTACGCAAAGCGTCCCAGGCGACTGTTCCATCTCGTTTTGTGAGCTGTACTAGCATTTGGAAACCTCAGCATATGCACGGATGAAGTAGGCGTAAAGCTTACCTTCGGCAGGGAGGAATCACCCTACCCATTGCAGGACTTAAAAAGGTACAACAATCTGTACCTAGAAAAGTTCAAGTGAAAATAAAACCGGAAAATGGGGACAGACACGGAAGGTAAGCATAGAGGAATCTTGCAACTGTGGCAATATTGCTCACTTTTTAACAAAATTACAAATAAAAACCTCTTTGACTTATCGAGTAGGAACTTAAGTCCAAATGGCAGACCCGGCTGAGCAGAATCCTACGGTTTAGTGAACTTGTGTCAAATGGGATGCGAAGACAGCTGCAGCTTTCTGACAGAGGTGATCGAAGATGGCTGATAAAGTCTGCAGTAGCTCATAATGTCCCATCTGGTTTATTCACTTGTTTGAACTGTCTAAAGGGCCAACTGCAGTTTAGTCATGTTCCTCTGGTGCATGTTGTGATGACGAACTAATTCATCAGACCTGGCAAATTTTTTTTGACAGCTGGGCCACCGGCAACTGAAAGGCTTTTCACCTGTTAACAAAACACCCTGTTATTAACTGGGTATACAGCTCGCCTGAGAGACTGCTATTTGTTTTCTTTCTGCGGGGTCGTGAGGAGCTAGGCAGAGCCCCTGTCAGGGGGAAAGGCATCCCGGGCTGTCCTGAGAGGGTGTGGGAGTGCCCGCAATTCCTGCCCACATCAGCGCTTTCTCACATCTCCTTCAGCTGATCTTTCACAACAGCCTTTTCAGATGACGTAGAGCATTTTGTGGGGGTTTGTTCCTGAAGGCAGGCCCTTACTGAGCACCGAGTTGCCATGCCTGTGCTACTCTCAGCTCTTGAGCGAACTACTTGAAAAGTCACTCTGGCAGCGGCACAAGCTTCGGTCGCACCCCGGGCTGTGGTGCAGACGTACTGCTAGTCACTGCGAAAACTGACAGGGACTGTTCAGAGCTTGACCTCAAGTCAAGGAGAGTTTTCCCAGCTTGTTCAGTGAGTTTTGGCTGAAGTCCTTTGAAACTGGTGAGTGTAAGTGAATGAGGTAGAAGCAACAGAGTTCAGCACAAAGGCTGCTGAGCCCGACGGAAAGCTTCCCACTAACCCTCTAAAGAAAGTAGATTCACATCTACGGGAGATGTTAAAGACTTAAAATATTCAGTATTTTTCGAACATTCCCAGGAGCATAACATGCTAAAAGTGACCCCAAGCAAAGCACATTCAACGTTAACGAGAAATGCCATCACCTTTTTACAGTTTAATCTGGTCTCCCGATTTTCTACAATGTTTAAGTGGAATTTCAGGCCGTGTTTCTGATGCCACAGGAATGCAGATGGAATGCTTTCATTAGCTCAGAGCAGTGCCCGGTGAGTCATGTTTCTCTTAGAATTGCATTTTTTTATTTTTTTCCCCCAAATAGATGCAATAATTTAAAGAAGGTTCAGCTCTGGGTCTGGGCTCTTCGGTGCTGTCTACACACCTCATACCCTCCAACTCAGGACACACAGGGGTGGTACAGGCTCACCCAGACAGCTCTTCTTTGCCTCACATTTTGTGCTTTTCACCAACACCTAAATTCAGGCAAAAGGGGATCTGGGATTGGCATAAATGTTGTGTGTTTCTGTTTGCAAAATCCCATGCAAAATATATGGAGGGGGTGCATTTAAAATCTACTTTATGCCCTTAAAGATGCTGGCAAAAGCATCAACTGTCTCACATCTGGCCAGGGCTACTCATGAAAACCACAGATTGTAGAAGGTGGTCTTCCTTTGTCTCAGCAGCAGAAGCAAAACCATCCTGTGAACTGAGGCGAGTTATCTGTTACTGGCCAGTTTTTCACTGAACTACCAGTGCAAAAGCAGCACAGTTTTGCTGTTTCACAAGCAATCCTGGTTGTCCCCTTGCAGCAATCTCTATTAGTTCCACGCCGAGCACAAATTACTTCGTACAGCTTCACTGTACAGATATCAGAAATCACATTTCCATTGCTAAAATTATACAGAGATGTATAGAGTTTTCCTTGATTCTTTTTTTTTTTTGCTTTCTACAGCAAAGATTGCTGTCATGGTAAAATTGCTTGTGGAGGCAAAACCCCCTGAATTTCTGGCTTAACAAATAGTTTGACCATTGACTGAAAGTTGGCATGGAATTAGATGGAAGTGACCTGTGCTTTGCGTCATCAAGATTCAACATGGAGCAAGTTACTTGGAGCTAGGTGTGTTGTTGCAAAATTTAGGGGGTACAAGAAAAACAGAGGAATGAAGCTCCAGGGTGAGATGGAGATGAAAAATCCCCACCCACCACTCTTGCTCATTCCCCTGCAGACATGTGTGTTTTACAGTCAAAGGAGCACGACACATCCAAAAGCGCCGAAGGGAGCATCATCCCAGCAGCACACAGCTGGGCCGCAGAGCTCGCACGGAACCTGAGCCAGCGGCAGGCAGGAAGCCCAAGCAGAGCTCCGTGCTATGCCATTATCAGTGCTGGGGCGAGGCTGCTTTCAGCAATGAGTGCAGTGTGGGCTTGGATCGCACGGAGCAAGGAAGAACTAAGCTGGGGAGATGAGTTTCACTAAGAAAAAGGGAGCAAGTTCTTCACTGATTTAGCTAGACTGGGATAAAAAAACCACTGGACTAGGGGAAGTCATGAATTAGCAGATCAGTTAGCAATGAAATGTGACGGGGAATGTAGTTTATCCTGGCTTGCTAGCATGTGACAACCGCTTGCCGTTTTGTCTCTACCAGAACGTTACCTGTTGCTGATGAAGAAAATACCTTTCTTCACACAAATGCACACAGACCCAGGCCCTGCAGCTCAGCACGAGGCTATGGGGAGAACCCAGGAACGCAGCCATGCCCTTTACCGTCTGCAGATTGCAAGTGTCAATACGGCTGCTACTTGAAGCATTTATTTGGCCAGTGCCACAGAAAATGCCATTATTCTCAGGTGAATCATTTCCTTTATTAAAACTGCTCTTTTATTTCTGAAAGTCTTAAATATGTGATTTTATGGTCCAGAAGAGAAAAAAGAATCCTTAGCAGGGAGAAAGAGATTTTCAGGCTCCTTGTCCATCTGTACAGAGACTGAATTTAAAAGGTTAACGCCAGCATAGAAAACACTGTGACATCTAATAACATGTCAAAGTGCTGGGTAAACAGTTACTTGGTAAAAATACTGCATACATAGGGGAAGGGAACAGAAAATGTCAGTTCATAGGAATAATTCTAAAACTTAACACTAGAATACAGGGGTTGCTGCAGTTGCTCCTTAATGGTGTTTACATTTACGTGAGGGCAGAGTAGCCTAAAATGGCCTCCTATATTTTTTTCCCCTGTATTTATATGAAATACTGTGGTTTCTGCAAAAAGGTCCTTGAATATTTGAGTAAGCTTTTACTTTAGTGTCTGTCAGTGTGAGTTTGCAAAAGGCACTCCTTTTATCTTCTGGAGAGATTACAGCACAAGCAGCAACAGCAAGAGCTTTGCCGTGCTACCCTGCATTAGGCTCAACTGACACTTAGGAGAAGCATGGGTAGGCATGAATACTTTAGATTACAGACCTTTGGCTGAAGCTAGAATTAAAATTTCTATCTTGTAGGGTTTTTTTCAGTAAAGGCAGTAGATCAACTTGACATTTGTGGGCTGAGAGCGTGATGTTCATTTCACAATAGCTGACAAAATATATTTTGTCAAGCTGAAGTTTCTTTAAAGGTGAAGAAAGAAAACGTAGTTTCCAAAATCACCTAAATCCCCTTGTGAAAAGTGACTATGACACTTGGGGAATGCAGTCACAGTGAAAAATCAGCACACTCGGAAGGTCTTTCTGTTCTTTTGAATATTTAACTCCTGGTTAAAAGTCTTTCTAATCATGTAATTTACAACAACATTGATTTAAACTTTAAAAATAACGAAATATAAATGTGAAGAAAAGTTTACGCACTTGTTTTACCTGTATGAGTCCTGGTATGAGTCTTCAGATGATCAGACCTGGAGAACTTTCTCTGACAGGTTTTACACTGGAAGGGTTTCACACCTGGAAAGATAAAAGTCGTCTATTCTTATATCCCAGCACCTTCTGGAAGGGTGAATGAAATCAGCTATTTCTGAATTTTCAAAAGTCTGAATCTTTTGGTACTAGTTACTGTAACTGCTCCTCCCAGCTTCATGCCTAGGCATTACAGAAAGTCATTAATCAGGCTATCAGCCCCTTGCAACCTCTTGCGAAGTCTGGGTCTGAAGCATCCAAAGAGCTCCGTCATCAACAAATACCCACTGCACTCCTGGTCTAGGGAGGATCTGCAAACTGCTAATTCTGTGGCTGGGCACTGTTGGTATCATGTGTGAGCAAACATGACATAACAAGAATAGAGGTGCAGAGGTATGTTTTTATATACTCCCAATAGGCTTAACTTACTTTACACTTCTACTGCTTACTTTACACACTACACATAAGTCTTGGAGCCTGCTTAACACAGATATGTTGCAGTTGCTAAAAATGTATCATCCTGATAGAATATTTTTACCACCAGCTTTCAGAGACACTTCCTACATCTCTCAATAACACCGTTAAAGTAGGATAGAACATCTTTAGCAAGAAAAGTAGTGGGCAGAAATCCACCCCAGAACAGTGAGTAAACCGATTGTCAGGCTGCTCCCTGAGATACAGGAGACCCAAGTGGAATTTGTTGCTGACTTAGTCACAGAAATACTCTGAAGCCCTTTCTCACATTCCATGCAGAGTGTTCCCAAGGTTCCACTCCCAGTCAGGGTGCTGGAGTCATCACCCTCTCTTCTTCTGTGACTTTGAGAAGGGCCGCTATGACTGCTGTCAGTCTAATCATAGATTCATAGAACAGTTGGAAGGGACTTTAAAGACCATCCAGTTCCAACCCCCCTGCCATGGGCAGGGACCCCTTCCACTAGACCAGGTTGCTCCCAGCCTCATCCAGCCTGGCCTTGGACACTTCCAGGGATGGGGCATCCACAGCTTCTCTGGGCAACCTGTTCCAGTGCCTCACCACCCTCTCCGGGAAGAACTTCTTCCTGATATCCAATCTAATCCTCCCCACTTTCAATTTAAACCCGTTTCCCCTTGTCCTGTCACTACAGGCCCTTGTAAAAAGTCCCCCCCAGCTTCCTTGTAGCCCCTTCAGGCACTGGAAGGTGCTATAAGGTCTCCCCAGAGCCTTCTCTTCTCCAGGCTGAACAAGCCCAACTCTCTCAGCCTTTCGTCACTGGAGAGGTGCTCCAGCCCTCTGGCCTAATCTAGGCATCCAAGAACTCCTGAAATGCTGAAAAGGGCTGTCCTGACATTTTCAGGAAATGGTGTATGCACAAAAACCAGTTTGCTGAATTTGAACTGAACTCACAAGTAGCTTTGGTTGCCTTGGAACATTTCACCCAGTAAAAGATTCACTGAGAAAGATACAGAAGTCTAGCTTGGACCCAGACCCACTCATGACTGCTGCTGCCCCCTCCACTGCATGTGAACTGCTGTACACTTTCCAGGCTATTGGTGCAATCCAACCTGCCAGACCGTTGATGTTTCTCTCCTTGCGGCTCCTAGAATCCTTCTTCAGCTGGCAGAATTCAAGAAAGGCTCAAATCTAAGCTTAAGTGGTTTGCTGAATTAGGGTCTTAAGCATTATAGGTGTTGTGGCTACTCCTTCTCCACTGCTGCTTTCCGCATATAAATGCACAGCACTTCCACCAGCCTTTCAGGTTATGTACATTCACCTATTAGTACTGCCACAGCAGTGTCGGAATTCCAACAGTACTGTTCATCAGGTTACTCATTGGCAACTTCTTCTTGCAGAACTGTTTGGTTTTAAAAAATAATATATTCCCCATATTGGGGATACAGTAGAAAGGATAATGTTTCATTAAGAAAGCGGTTTCAAAAAGATGGCAGCAGCATGAAAGAGTCACCTATACAACCACAGTAGTGCTGAAACGCCAATAAAAAAACCCAGCTACAGTCCTCTCCTAGAGCTAACTTCAAGAATTTGGCACTATGGGTTTCAGGTATGAGCAGACACAACATTGCCAAAACAGAATTTGGATGTATACTTTTTGGGTCACCATTCACATATAGATGAACAAACCTGTGTGTCGTCTTTGGTGCCGTTTGAGTTGGTCTGAACGAGAAAATCTTCGTTCACAGTCCTTAAAATCACACTGATAAGGCTTTTCACCTGTGAAGGACAAACAGTTTGTCAGACAATGTTGCTAAATGAGGGAATGCTTCAACTAGATGCAGAAGATGAAACATGAACCAAAAGACTCAGCCTTCCTTCCTGTCTAAAGCAGCCCAGTGGGACACCAGGACCCATTTGCTCTAAAACCATACAACTGTGGTGGAAGCAGTGGGGAAAGGCTGGCAGAATTCTACTGCATTGACACTGACTCCGAATCTTCTCATTCTAAAAAAGAGCCCATTAGATTAAAGCTACAAAAAAATTCATTGGCATGATTTTTTTTTAATTATTGTTTTCTGCTGGGAAAGAAGAGAAATCTCTCGTTTAATGCGTCTCTGAAAATCATATTAAGCCCCTTCCACCTGTTTCAGTAATACAAGATTTGTACAAGGGAATAACTTGAAGTTTGCTCTAAATTGGATTTAAAGCAAAAACTAAACTAATTACATCCATGTAGGTGGCAAGTTTAACCACACTAAATGAATTAAAAGAAAGTGAGCAAAACTGAACCACAGGAAAATACATAATTTTCCCCAAAACACAAATGACGTTTCTTCCACAAAGCACCGTTGAACAGAATTTCTCAGGTAGCTGCACACCTCCCGCAGGCAAGCCTATGAATTATGGCAAAGCCTCCTGTAAATAGAAACTATTCCTCCACCTCCTGTTCAGCAGAGGTCTTCAGGATGGATTTTCTCTGGAATTCAAAGCGAGATTCTGACTTCTTTAAAAAAGGAAATCCTACAAGCCAGTGTCTCCAACGAACATGAGTTTCAATGCAAAGGACTTCACCAACCCCATGAACGTGCAATGCAGCAACCATGGAGCTTGAGGAAAGAGGGGAACACTGCTGGCGTGTAGCATACCACAGAGGTAGTGAAATTTGGCCAGCACAAAAAAAAATAAGCCTTATGCTCTTGCAGGAGGAGCCGCATGATCTTTCAGATCTGATTTGCATCAGGCTAAGGCCCCTCTGCAGGTACTGGGATCCTGCACATGCTTCAGATGCAATTGCAGGAGTTGGGCTTGTTCAGCCTGGAGAGTAGAAGGCTCCAGGGAGACCTTATAGCACCTTCCAGTGCCTGAAGGGAAGTACCGGGGGGGGACTTTTTATAAGGGCCTGTAGTGACAGGACAAGGGGAAACGGGTTTAAATTGAAAGGGGGGAGGTTTAGATTGGATATCAGGAAGAAGTTCTTCCCGGAGAGGGTGGGGAGGCACTGGAACAGGTTGCCCAGAGAAGCTGTGGATGCCCCATCCCTGGAAGTGTTCAAGGCCAGGCTGGATGAGGCTTGGAGCAACCTGGTCTAGTGGAAGGTGTCCCTGCCCATGGCAGGGGGTTTGGAACTGGATGGTCTTTAAGGTCCCTTCCAACCCAAACCAGTCTGTGATTCTGTGATTCTGTGAATTACATTTGTACCTAGGTAAAGCCAGGTTACAGTGCCACAGCCCTGCACAGAGGCCTCAGCCCAAGGTGTAAGGGAACAGCTCTCGCTGCAAAGCTGGGAGGATCCTGGGTTTTATATGGAAGGGACACACAGGACCAGCTGGGACCTGCTTTGTCTGCTCTGCAAAGCCGAGATGTAAAACAAAGGTCCAGCAGGAAGGGCCTAAAGAAAGAATGAGCTGAAGTGGGCAGTGGGTTCAGTTTCTCTGGGTGTCTTTTTAACCACATACCACTTCCATAAATCTTCACTGCGAGCATCTGCATTGCTGAGTTTATTATGAAATGCATTCGGTTGCACTGGTGTTCTGAGATACCCATGCAAACTAGTCCAGTGCAAAGCAGAAGCCTTAGAGTGAGGCGAGAGGATGGGCAGCATACTACGGAGAGCATTCCACATTCATACCAGGGTGGCTGAGATCAGAATTTCACCAAAGGAACGAAATCTGCAAGAACAAGCTGACTTCCTGTGACGGTCACCCAAAGGAGTTCACTGATTCTCCAACCTAGGTGTGGACAACTTCCATGTCTGCTCTGCTTAATTTATTAGCATAAGGGATTAAAGTTGCCACAGGTGTTTGAAATAGTTCCGTACACTTTGACCGCAGGGACTCCCGGGGGGGTGCCTGCTTCTCAGAAACCACTTACTTCCAAGGAATTCAGCCCTTTGGCAGATTTAAGAGGGGGAATGTCAGCAGAGCAGAATGCAGTGACAGGATGATTGTCTGCTAATTGCAATATAAACGCAGAAGATGGTTAAGGAGGTATTTGAATAAAACAGTGTAGCGGGTCTGATGGCATGCACATGGAAGTATTTCTTCAGACACTTTGAAACATAATCTTGATTAAATTAAGGGCAAATTTAGACGGTGTGTGTTATAAAGGAATGAATACAAGATGCTTACATAGACATGCTGACACTGCATAGAAAACAAAAAACAAACAAACAAAAAGAGGCACAATATTTGAACAGAAATCCTAATTTCCCATTCCTTCTACATCATCCGTGTCAGTTAGTGCCAAGGAAAATGCCTGCCAAAGCCAACTGTCACATACCTGTTAACTCCCATAAATTTCACCAGAACAGGACGACAGCAATGCCCCAGATTAGCAAAGGTCCGTTAGTGCCTCATTAAATCACCACACAGAGAGGGGTTCGAGCAGTATCCAGTTCCCCAGGCCTACCAAAGCCTCTCCAGGGAAAGGTTAAAGTCCTTTAAGCTATGAAAAACATCCCATAACGCAGTCACCTGCCGATGTGACCACATCCAACCGCAAAACAAAACAGGAGGTGAAGATGAAGCTTCACCTGCGACTAGGGGGGCTTCCCCGATTCTTTACATTTCATTGCTGAAAGAGGGCACACAAAAGAAAAGCTCAATGGGCTGCATAAGGAAACAGTCGAAAGAGGATAGCGGGAAGAGCAGTCTTTTAATATTTAGGAAATTATTCTGGAAAAAGGAAGGCCAACAATCACAGAACAAGTGTGGCCAGCCTGCGCACGTACTGCAACAAATGCTTCGAATGAAGTAAACCTGTTTGCTTAAAAAGAATTAACTTAAACGAGAGGAAGCACGCACATTTTCTCTGGAGCAAACTCGTTTGCCCAGACACATGGGCAAATTCCCACTGCTGCTGCCGTTGCAGGAAACATTCATAATCACTGCATTTAACAGCGGAGTGCTGCAAGGGCAAAAGCCTGCCCGCGCTGACCAGGAACCATGAGGAGAAGAGGCTGATTTTGAAACCAGAGCCTGCAAGTCTGAGTGAGCATCTGAAGGCTTGTCTATACTCCCTTCATCGATTTTTAACCCCTTTTCTTGTATGGCCACGTAATCAAATGAGCACAACCCCATAACCACAACTTACCTCACTAAGATAACATTTTTCTAATCCACGTATTTTGCTTTAGCAAACTTGGATTAAATTTACGTTTCTCTATTTAGTAGGGAGCCTTTCTAGTAACAATTTCGGTCATCGTCACACCGGAGTTCAGGCATGAGATGTCATGACTGTCAGGAAACTAATCTTGCATTTTAAATACATCAAAAAGCTGATTTGATGCCACAGAAGGGAAAGCTTAAAAGCAGTCCACGCCGAGCAAGGACAGAGGCCCATCCAGCCCAGCAGTCTCCCACCGCAGCTCACCAAAGATGCCCGCAGGAGAGCAGAAGATTGCAAGGATGCAGCAAGAAGAGCCCGTGCAGTTCCCAGCTCAGGCACAATTACACCTCTTTATCAATTTGTCATCTCTGAAGATAGAGGGCATAGCTCTGTCTTTCAAAGGTGGTGTAAGAATGAACTTCACTAATGACTGTAAAGCATTTAGCAGCACGGTGGCACATGCCATAGTAAAAGGGTATTTGCTTTTGTCAAAGCAAAGAAATCATTATTAGATGATGAGCATAAAAATCATTACTAGAGTGCCCTACCTACATGCCCTAGAGCCTCAGAAATTCACCACCAAGAGCTGAGGCCCCTACCACATAAAGGAAAACCTCCGATTTGCAGATTCTCATACTCACCTGAGCATATTTAGGCTGAAGAATATCCCTGGCAAACAGGCAGACACTCAGTTTTTCATTAGGATAAATCCAATTTTTCCAGTGTGTGGCACTGAACCCAAAGGGTCTCTGGCAAGAATGCTGATACTTCCACCATAAATGAAATTTATGGAGGTCTAGACATCAATTTGTTTCTGCAAAGAAGGCTCTGAAGTCTGCCACAGGATGACAACTCACATGAATTGCTGCACTGTTGAAAAGTTCTGTGTATTTCTGCATTTTCTTTCAGAGGCCTATCTATTGCAGCAAAACACACCAAGATAAGAAAAAAGCTTTTTTGGCTGTACATGTTTCAATAAAGGCATTGTTAACGATGGATAAGCAGTTTTGGAGGGTACAAAATGTCAACATATTTTCAACTAAGGCTGTGTTGAAACACTGGTAAAAACTGATTATAGATTCCAGTTTGGTGTTTCAGGGCCCTGCTTGATTTTGCAATGCTGCAACCAGTGAAGAATGGAAGAGCTGATGAGCCAGTTCTCTGTGAGTATCTATTACAGAAAGGAAAAAGATAGTTGAGAGCCAAGACTATTCTGCAAAGATACTACCTGCTGGTTCAATATTAGATACAGGTAACAGCTTGTTTTCAAATCACGTGCTCATAATTTTTAAAATTTACCTACCACTACGCTAAGAAGGGTGGAAGAGCTTCAAACACCTGAGTGAAGCCAGAACCACCTTACAGGAGGACTAGTTAAAATTTTCTGTTGGCTGTAGAGAGGTATATCAAACACAACCAAATTATCCCCCTCTTCAGTTGACATCTGACAGCTCTGCTGACTTCGGACTGGCTCGGCAGGGTCCCTCCCCATCAGAAGCAGGAGAGGAGAGTTCCTTTGTTTACCAAGAATATCGGGTGTTTGCCAACTACTTTCTAATATGCTACCTCCACCAAGTCCGATTTCTGTACCTAGTAGAGAGCTCCAGAAGGGGGTTTTGGAGTTTACTGGGTTACAAACAGAAAGGTGATCAGGGAGGCCAAGAGACTGACACATAATTATCAACACAAACCAACGGCCTCACTCTAGCCATACTGGCCCCTCAAGATATCCCCAGCACTCACAACCAAGCTGGTGGAGAAAAGAAAGAAGGCGCAGAGAAGTGTCAACTGTGGCTAGTGACTGTTACCAACAAGACACACACATCCTTCACAGCGAGGATTGATCTGCCCTTTGCAGAAAACTGGTCTCCAAATTTTGCTTTTGACAATCAGCTTTTCCACAAGCAGGAGACACAAATGCGTGTTAGCCAGAGAAAGACACCAAGTTACAAAGGAGACTGGAAGTGGATTTGCGTCACAACAGCTAGTTCAACTGCCCAGGACTCCCAAAGGGCATGGGACTGAATGACAAATGCGCGTTAGCCAGAGAAAGACAAGTTACAAAGGAGACTGGAAGTGGATTTGCGTCACAACAGCTAGTTCAACTGCCCAGGACTCCCAAAGGGCATGGGACTGAATGAGGCCATTATGGCCACCACCTCCAGACCACCCCAGGCAGCCAAGAAAAGATGGTAACTCCGAAGTGTTCACAGACTGTCCACTCCACACGCTCCCATATAGTACAGTTCACCAAGCACTCCCAAAAACTAGGACTAACAGATGACAGAAGGAGACAAGAAATTAAGGGCATCATATTCTAAGCCTCTACAGCAGCTGGGAATTTGTTAAGTAAGATTTCCAGACAATAATCATAGGAAAGGGCTAGTACACATACAACAGGCCGAGGATAAAAACCTGCCAGCCTGATAAAGGGGAGAACTCCCTTCTGATCCCTCAGCCAGGCAAGTTACCCAAGCAATTCTGACACCAGCAGTTCTCTAGCCCTTGCTTCCTCTCTAGCTGCAACCAACCTCGAAAGCTTACACCATCGTATCAATGGCAACCTTTGTGCCAGCAAATAGAAGCTTTGGGAATCAAGCTGGCCTTTCATTGAAAGCAACTTGCAAAGGTTTGAGAAATACTACATTTGGTTGTCAACGTATCAAAATATAGTGGTGGAAAATTTGGGCCCACCTGTACAGAAGAGACGTTTGGGGGGAAAATAACACATTTTTCTCCTACCCTGTTCCTTTATCAGGTAAACCAAAGGAGAGGGAAGGGGCATGTTTGACCTCCAAGACAATGGGACAAGTCTCTCCAGGGATACTAGACAGCCATAGTCCTGTCCCCCATGTCTCCTGTGGCTTTTGTGGCTCTACATGCCTAGATTATATGTAGCATAATGCTGGAAATCTTCTCCTGAACTTTCAGGGGAAAAAAAAGATGGAAGCTGAAGTCCTTGTGATGCATCCAGAAATAACATTGTGAAAGCCAAGCAAGCAAATGGAATAAAATACAGGACCATAACAAAATATGACTGTTAAAACACAGATTAAATTAATTTAGGAATGAAAGAAATCGTGATTATGAGAAAAATTCAGAACCCTTTAAGCATACTCAAGAAAAATACTGCAGTTAATGGGAGGCCAAAAGATCTCCAAGTTTTCTTCTGTTTCAAATTTGTTTACAGAAAATAGAATAGCATTTCTGTACACTTCCAGCTCTGAAGACTAAATTTCAGTTACCATCTAAATTATCTTGAATTTGTAATCTGAGCCACACGGAAGATGACTCTGAGTATTTTGTGACTTGCCCATTAAGAAATTAAAAACGCTGTGTAACGTTCATTTCTTACTTGTATTTTACACAATTAACTAACGTCACCACAGGGTCTCCAAAAGGAAATGTTTGCAACTATTTTTTATGAAATGTTAGGAAGCCCCAACAGGATGGACTGCCTTCCCTGTCGTCTGCCTCATCCCTTTGACCTTCCATCACATTAATGGGTAACCGAGCACCCCTATGTACAGATTTTATCCACAGATTTCTAGATTAGCACAGGAAGAACTGTCTAAACAAAAATACGATCGGCAGTCAAAAATAATGAATATCTAATGCTATACCATAATTATGCATTTCCAACCATAGAGATCTCCCAATAGGAGGAATAATCCTGTTTAATCTTTGGCAATGTGCATCAGGACATTTCATTTCCACATTTTGGGGTGTAACTTGTATTTCCTGAACTCAGAGAGAATCCAGATCTCAGCCTACAAATGACAGGCTTCAGGCTCAATTCTTCACGGGAAGAGCCCACCGCAAGGGAGTTCACTTGCCAATCCCTGCCCCAAACCCCAACCAGAAAAGGTTTACACAGCGGAACAAGAGGATGCTAGATGACTAGGTTCCTCTTGCAGAGGAAACTTCTTAATAGTTAACACCAGTTAAGATCTGATGCTCCCAAATGGGGGTGGGGGAAGATTCACAGCCCTGAATGATGCCCTATAACAGTAAGAGAGGGAGGGGGGCGACCTACTTGCTGTCAGCACTGCTCTTGTGTTTTTCCTCACTGGATTCAGAGTCCCCTGCACCCAAAAGAGGGATTGCCTGGATGACAGAGCACATACATACCTCCTCTGACAGATTCTCGCTGCCCCTGACCTGGCAGATCATTTCTTGCACCTTATGCTATTTTAAAACCATCCCACCCCCACTTTGCTGTCCGGTGCTGTAATGTGATTTATACCGATCCCTGCTGACACTTACCAGTGTGCTTTCTGCTGTGCATCTGTAAATGGGACAACTTAAAGTATCGCTTGTTACAGCCAGGGTACGCACACATGAAGGGCCGTTTTTCATTTGTCTCACTTGCTGATCGGACAATAGTCGGAGCTACCCCCGGCACCCGTCGGACATCCTACAACGACAGAGACTTGTGAATGTTCTCAAGCTTTTAGTTAACATATTCAAAGACAAACAATCAGAGGCACTTCTCAAGGATGACGAGATACTTAAACATATTATACTGCAAAGAGGTGATTTTATTTTATTCTACGCTAACGAAGTACAACCTCAGTATACTCTAATCGGTTTTTTGCAGAGCATTAAAATTATTTGAAGGTGAAATACAATGAAATCTATTTGTTAAATTCTCTGATCAATATTTATACTCAGGATTAAATGGGCCACATTCTGACCTCATGATGAGGTACGATCACACAATCCTGGAAGAACACTCAGTGGCATATGAAATGGTTTTAGGCTTATACCAGCGTAAGAGCTAGCACGAGCCAGAGCAGCGTTCTCCTCTTTATTTTAAATTCTCATGAAGTTAATGGACAAGGAAATTAATGTATTGGGTTAATGTAAATTCATAAAAAAAAAACCAAAACAAGAAAGACTGCCTATGTGGAGCCGGTGAATAGACCTTATGCATTTTGGCCACTGTCACAGTGCTCCATCAAAGATGATCTTCCCCTTCTGGGATAATTAACTTCCTTAAACAATGTCAGTGGCTTACTTTTACTCACTCAACAAAAGCTGGCTCTCCAGCTGATTTCGGAGAGCCTGCCACTGAATAATGACTTGTTAAACTGTACAGGAAAGGAAAAGGAGAAAAGATGCTATCTAAAAACATGGATGAATGCTGACAACACAGAAGAACCAGATATTATGTAATGACTTTGCCATCAGTTTTAAGAAGGTATATCTTTCACTGAAGATATGACTGTTTCAGAAAGGGAGGAAATTAACTCCCATGAATGGTAAGTTCCTCCCAAATATTCACTAATTACTTAATCATTAGGAAACAATCGCTTATCATATTTTGTTTAAGGAAATATGTTTGAATTAGTAAATTTTCAGAAATCCCTAAAAGCAAAGTGTCATCTAACACTTTCTAATATATACTTGTCAGAGGTAGCCCACAGTAACCACAGAAGCTCCACACGGCCAAAGGGACTGCAGCTAGACGTTGGAAACAGGATCATATATTTTGGACCATCCTGAGAAGCTGGTAAGGAATACTGCCTTGCAGATATACTTTAAAAGAAGAAATAAACATTTTTAAATGACTGTATCAGAAAGAAATTCTACATCATACTTCAATGGCTTCAGTGAAGTCAGGACACTTAGGTAAAGCATTTCTTGATAACACAGGGAAACCGCAAGTCGAGGATGGATTTACAAATACCAGTAAAGTAGTAACTGAACACTGTAAACAGGCAGCAGTTTAACTTCCCTATGAAGAATGCCCTGCTATACTCACTTGTATGCCTCTAAAAACTCCATGGGTGTGTATTCTGTATTGGGCCCCACAGCTGTATAACATGGGAGTGCTGTGGTTCTCATTTTCATATCCTGCTGTATGGCTGTAAATAAAGAGGGGAATAATGGAAAAATGAAATTTTTTTCAGTACTCAGCACCACGTGAGAGGTTTAATTTCTTAAGTCGATGACAACATATGCAGAGTTCGCTTTTAGAGCCAGGGTATCCCACGTTCAAATGAAATGCACCAAAGGAAGCCTGCTATGCCTTCGTGTGGATCTGCTCCCGCTGGCACAATGCAGTGACTCCGTACGTACGTCTGCGAGCAACCATTTAGACAGTCCAGTAAGAAAAAAAATTGTCATGATTTGAACTCTGATGTATTTCCACAAAGATTTTAGGTAAAAGGAAAAAATCCACATAGCAGCATAACTGTGTCATGTGCACATATACACGTTATTTATCAGTTAAATGTGGGGCTGCCTATTGCTAATATCTTTTGGAATGAGCAAAATGCCTCAAGTTTCACATTAAGCGCAGTGGATTTTTGTCAGCACCTCATGACTCAGATATTACCAGATACTACCAAGAAAGTGATGACATTTATAAGAATAGCAGTCATGTACTCATAAACAGAGATTACAAATCAGTGTCCAAACTATTTATCCCAGATATCAGCTTGCAGGATGCGCTACAAATTAACCCTTTATAAAAAGAAGTAAAACAAACCCAGCTTATCCCTACTAGGTACACATTTTCAAGATTCCTCATGCAGCAACACGACAATAATTTTAAGAATTTGTAACCTTTGTTGTGTTTGGGGGTTGTCACAACCATATGTTTTATCTAATTATATCCTTTGAAATCCTAGGTTCTCTTGTCCAGAATGTTAGGAACATCGCTGGGTTTCCTGTTTGCAGCCTTCTTAATGTCAAAATTACGTAAATAAATTTTAGGTTTGAATTTTAAATGAGTGTGTACACCGCCACATGTATTAATCTACGCTGGCAAAGGTAAGTGTTCGTGTTTTACACTGCCCTAGAAATTAGAAAGCCCGGAACAAAGCCCAGGGGCACGCAGCTAGGGACAAAGATGGATACATAGGATGTTATCCCAGCCTTTGCCAAATGCTTGCAATAGCAATTTGAAGGGGTCCCTGAGGCCCAGACTCTTATTTCACTGGTCCTTCCCCTCTCTTCACTCAAAGTTCATGTGCAGAGTAGAATTACAAGGAAGTTTTAAACCTCTTAAGTGATTTGCAGAACAGCCAGTGGAACTGGAATGCGGGAGACGTCTAAACGGCTGGTGAACCGCGCTGAACAGGAGAGGAGCAGTATTTGTGAACAGCTCTTAGTGCAGCGTGGGCTGCGTTCCCCCACATTTGTCCCCACAGTGGCTTGCAGGCTGGCACCTGGCAGATGTGTTCCTTTAGATCCATTCCTTTGCTGCTTAAAATACTAGCTTCAAATCCTGGCCACACCCGGCTATTCAAATCCAAGGCTACACCTTTTTGGAAGGTATGCTCTGTGTATTTCAATTTTAAGTGTCAAACGGGTGATCATAATGAAATAAGTTATAGGGTGGCTGCAGGAAAGTGTCTCTGATCTGCAGTAAGATGTGCAATAATAGATAAAGGACGATACCATTATCTGATTTAAATGGGTTAAACTCTTCTCCAGGTATGTACCATGCCCAATTCAATAGGGTCTCATCTCTGCTCAGGGCCCAGATGTGGCCTTCTGTACCCTAGCACAAGTAACAAATTACCATTTGCTCAGTTCAGGTTCCCCACCAACATCGAATTTTCCTCTCTATTGAAAGGCAGCAAGTCCATAGATGTTGAGGGGAAAAAAAAGGCTGAAAATCACCCAACCCATGGCGATACCCATGTTGATCACAAATTAAACAGCTCATTTGAAAACAGAAACGAAACGAGAACTACCCTTTACAGGAGGGAGTTGTGCAATAGAAGCTACTGCTATCTGTAATGTAGCAGCAAATCAAGGGTAAATACGTGAACTTGAGCATCAGTCACCCTGAGTAACCAACCGTGTAACCTCTCACTCACGCCTGTACCAGCAACCTTACACCGTACAACAAACAAGAGACACAAAGGTAGGTAAGAAGAATTCCCAGGACAGAAACTTCAGAAGGAGGGACAGGAATACACAGTAAAAGCTTACACCATAAAACACAGCCGAACTTTCCCTCCAAATTCCCATGGTTTTCATCTTTCAGTGATAACTGGTTTTGTAAAGACCAGTCAGTTCAGAAATAACCCCTCCCAGGAATATGCAGCAGAACAAAGACCCTGTCTGTGCCCTAAGGAACGGCTCTCCGGAGGTATCCTCCGGATGATCTCCATCTCTATGTTGATTGCACAGTTGGGAAGCCTTCTTCAACATTCAGCTTTTTTCCTATCCCTTCTCATTATTCCCAGTTAGACTTCACTAAAACTGCACATACAACTGCAAAGCCTTGAAGATTAAAACCTGTTTTCTGACCCTGTTGGCCCATAATATACTGAGTAATGAATAAGCCATCTACTTAACCAGCTCGCTAGGAGAGAGGCTTTAATGATCAGGAACCCTACTTCCCATTTTGTACTGGGCACGCTTCCATCAGCATTGGCTGGTACTCAGTGTGGCCATACAAACGATGACAGCGAAATGGGCCACGTGAGACTGCTTAGTTAAAATACCATTTATTCGCTACAAAGTGCTACGGAATAATCTGACCTACAGGGAGACAGAACGGAGCAGGTGAATGTTCTTTACAGTCGGCGCAGAAACTAGAACACTGAAGGAGGAGCTTTCACAACCCATCCCTACACCACTGCTCTCTTGAACCTCAGCCTTCACTCTGCATCAACGGCAACCTCATAGTGAAATACAGCTTTTTTTGTATTTCAGCCTCCTGACTCAATGTCTCCACGACGTATGCTACAAAATGTATACCACAATTTGCACAGCTGCCTTGTTTCATATTCCTGTCATTATTCTACTATATTAAAAGCACTGATAGAACATCTGACATAAATCTCCTACATACTTTACCAAAACGCAAACACCTGCTTTATTGAATACAAGAGGTAATGATCAGATGCTTTGCCTCATACAGGAGCAATACAAGTAACTGAAGTTATACCTGCAGTGCATTAACTACATGGAAATTTAGAGAGGGTAGGAAATTCCTTAACTTTCATCTTTTCTAGTCAGGCACTCGATGTTTAACTAGGCGAAGAGACAATGCCTTATACGCTGAGGCCACCAAATCTGTAAGTTAACAATGAAAAAATATCCTGATAGACTCTCAGGACTAGGTAACAGCCCTACTAAAGCACTGCAGGGTGTACACCGCACACCCCACACCCACCAACAATATATGCCTTACAAACTAAAAGGAAGATGCATTAAAGATCACATTGGGCTGTTCAGACCAACAGTGATAATCCAGGGTAGGTACACTCACACATGGGGAGAAACGGGCTTCTGGGACCAGGACGCACGTGTTCTCTCCCCAGAGGATGGACTGCCCAGGCAACAGCACAGCCAGGAGACGGGCCAAGGGAGCCGCTCACTGCCCTGCCACAAGTGCGCTCAGAGCAGGGCTGAGAGCATGGCCACAGCTCCTGCCCAGGGTCGTCTTCTCCCCCAGGAGAAATCCAGCCACAGCCAGGAGGATAATCAGGGGGTGAACAGTTGGATTAACAAGAAAAAAAATAAACGCACAAAAAACCAACTCCCCAGACTCATAGTGAGGAGAGACACTAGAGTGATCCCTTTCCAAGCCCTGAGAGGAGCCGGAGCTCAGCCCAACTGGCCTGCCAGGATCCAACAGAAATTTCTGTGCGAGCAAGGGCTGAAGGGTCCAGCCTCCCAGCCTGGTTCTGCCTCCACTTGAAAATACACAACTGCCTTTAACTTTGCGAACAGCACAAAGGCAGGACTGGACTATAAATATTTTGAATTCATCCAGTTAGCTGGTGAGAAAGGGACGCAGTATATTTTGTTCTCTGGTTCTAGGCAGCCAGAAACAGCCCTGGAAACACAGCCATAAAATGTAACTCCAGATAACTGGGAAACAGAGACTGATACTTTGCAACATAAAACGCTAAGCAAGCACTACGTGTCGCAGAGTATTTCAGAGCGCTTGCATTTACCATTAGCCCAGCAAATCCTTCACACTCAGAGAGTAGCTCTTTTGAAATGATTAATCTCAAAGCCGTACAGATTGTGCACAGATTAATAAAAATGAAGGTTTTACAGATGAGAATGTGTGATGAAAAACAGAGCAGCTTTAGAGAGTTGTATCAATCTAAGTGGTTATAAAAAAACTCATAAAAGATGACATTCTAATCTGAATATTTTAAAAAACAATTAAGCTGCAATTTCTCTCTCACACCATTTTTACTTTGTTAAACCAAAATTGTCTGTCTAATGTATAAAGCAGTTACAACTTACTCTGAAGAGGTAAGCTTTTCATTACTATTATTTCATAAACCAAAAAAGGAAAGCTTTGGGCACACTGAGGAGAGTTAGAAAATTTCAGATGAAACATGAATACACTTTGATTCATGAGATTCAGACTTGGAATAATATAAAAAAGAGAAAAAAAAGATTACATAAAACAGGCACCACATTAAGCCTCGATTTAATTGTGTTTCAGTGCAGGAACAGGAATTTTAGGGTTTAGAAACAGAGCCAAAAATGAGGCAAAGTGAGGGTGTGGGCTAGTCCCGTTGATAACGGAACATAAAGGAAGAGAAGTAGAGTTAATTCCCTCTGCTAAAATATTTACCATCCTAGCACCCTGGGAAAAATGTGTATGGAGACAGCAAAAAAGATTCTGATTAGTTATATAGAAGATCATGTTTCTGCCTGTTTTTTGTCTAATAGTATTACGGAGGGTGGAGTATAAAGCTGTGTTTTTATCTGCGCTTTCCAAGGCAAAGGAACATTAAAAAATACGATTTCACAGATTACAGCCCCACTGCCATCCTCAATGAGAAAACCAGCTGGTTGATGAAAGGAAGGCACTGGATTTTCAGGGGACTCCAGTCTCTCTGACTTCAGCGGTCTTGTTTGGTTTGGGTTTTTTACC